CATAGGGTTCATCATCTTGGGGACTTTAATTGGCCTCATTTCTCGTTCATGTTCAGTATCTTGCTAAGATTAAACATAGGTTGCAAAGCAAAGTCATGAAACCTGTGTATTCACTGGATTACCAAAATAACCAATTCACAAAGGGATGAAGAACTGATTGGGGCCCATTATTTCTGCCAACCCACATTCCCACCTCAAGTACTGGTCTTCCTTTTAAGAGATGTGCTAAAAATAGCATTGAGAGTGATTATAGATCTGATAAGTGCAGGTTGAATACCATCAAGATTTCTTGGAAGTTAGCAACAGTAAACGCTCCAAAAATTCTAAAACAGGAGTGATCTACAAAAATAATTTTCACTTGTTTGAGGAGAATATTTTTGGATAGCTGCTTTATGAACATTGCAGATGGTTTGGGGCAGCAGACTGATTCTGTGCTTAAAAACCTGCCGGAGGTAATCCGCAGTGTGGAACTTCATCAATGACACCTAATCTTCCCTACGCTTGTTTGCTATTGACTTCCCTTCAACTCACCTCTGTAAGTGACAGCCCTAGTTATCATTTATGCCGTGTGGAAATAATTCTTGACTCCAGCAACTCTGGATTTGGATTCTAGCTCCAATACTAACCAGCTAAGTGACTTTGAGAAAACTGCTTTGTTTCTTTTGTGCCTTTGTTTCTTCATCTGTGAAACGAGCATATTGCGATGAAGTAGTGAGTGCAACTCAGCTTTTTAGCACTATAGACCCATTTTATCCTGAGGTCCCTTGCCGTTCCTGAGGTATATATCCCAAAAGATTTGCAGACACCACATTTATAAATAGCCAATATGGCATAGTGCTTTTCTCACTAAATACAATGAAGTATGTAGCAGGCAGATTCATATGACCCTTTCATAGCCTTTAATGATTCTGAAATACAAGATAAAAGTGTTTTACAAAATCATTAAAACAAAGGCTGTGGCGAAAATAAACTCTAGGTTGCATTGTTACATCGTTGCTCTGGGAACACTGACAGTACATTTCCTTTACTCTGAAACACAAATGTGGCTTTTTTTTTTTTTAGTTATTTCTCAAGGACGCCTAGGTAGGTGACTTTGAAAAAAGAACAAGGGCTTGTGAGCGCAGATGTCATTGGTCGGTGAGCTTTGTAGAGCACACAGTACAAAGCATGCCTCAGGGAACACACAGATCCCAGAATGGGCGTGTGTGCTGTTCTCCCGTGTGGTTAAACTGTACCTGCCAAGGCTGCCCATCCCAAGGCTCTGCTGGGTCACATGGTTTCAAAGACTTAGTCTCCCAAGCTGTATTTCTTAAGCCATTCCTTTTCCCATTTGTATTTGGCAATGACATATATAGTTTCTGACTCTGGTTTCTTATCAATGCATAATAATCAGTGTTCCCATGATGAAATGACAAGGTTCCCATCAGAAGCAAAGGAATCCAACATTGCTTCCTTTTAAATGAAGCAGTGTTACTGTGGATTTCATTAGCTCACGTTAGGAGACAATAGGTTCAGAAGTTTTTCAAGGTCCCTTTCATGTGCCATTCTGTGATCCAGGCTGCAGGAAGAGGCCCCTTCTCTCTGGCCAGAACCATAGGATCAGTAGCTACTACGCGACTTGGGTAATGACCTGGCATAGAAATTGGACCATCTCAACCCTTCTTCCTGCCACATCTCTCACCTCCCCTTCCACATCAGCTTGTGCTGGGGCGAGAAGTGAGATCTTACAGGGTCAGTAGCCATTTGTCAAACACCATGCTGCAGACTAGGGGAACAAAAATAAGATAGAGTTCCTGTCCTTGGTAGTTTGCACTCCTAGGGGAGGCAGACAAGTATACAGGTCATTTTAATATGGTTCTGTTCAAGTGTTAAGGTTTGTATAGGGAGTTAGAGGAGCTCAGAGGAGGGATTCCTAGTGCTCCTCCAGGTTAGGGAGGGCTTCCTGGAGGAGGTGATGCCTGAGGTAACTTGGCCAGGTAGAGAAAGATGGGAAGTTTTTTCCAAGAAGACACAGTCAGAGGCATGGAACCACATAGTGAAGGAAAGGGAACTGAGGTGGTTTGGTTTTACTGACGTGAAAAGCTTCAAGTAGGGAATGGAGAAGTGGTAGGAGAACAGAGTAGAAGCCAGGTCACAAAGAGCTTTGTATCTCACCTGGAGATTAGCTCCACCTGGATTCTGAGGGGAAAGCTAAGAGGCCCAGATTACATCACAGAGTTGGTCTGCTTTGAGTGGGGTTGTGGGGGTAAAGGGGGAAAATGCTGGCCCTTTTTACTCCTGTGTCAGTCAGTCATTGGCTGAAATCTGCTGTGGGGGTGGGCACATAGCATAGCCTCCCAATTGGCTGAGGGCAAATCTCCCAATGAGAGGGTGCTGTGAGCTTTGTTAGCAGCCAACTCATAGCAACTGGAAGACGGGGCACCTGCCGGTAAGGTAAATGGGATCTGGTAGGGCACCAAGGGCTTCCAGTTTGCCTGGCTAATACCTCCTCATCCTGTGGTACTCAGATTAGATACTGTCACAGCCCCTATTGGGCCTTTCGTGCCTCCAAGTGTGGTTAGGAGCCTTCCTGTGTGCTTCCACAACACCTCTTGTTTCCCCTCACTAGCCTAGTTAGTGCCTCTCATATAGCCTAAGGTTGCAAATGCTATGAAAGCAGGAGCTTCTTAAAACTATAGCACATACTATTGTGTCTGGTGTGTAAGTAGATGCTCAGTTAGTATTCTAAACGTCCAGCAAGTCCTGGGAGCTGGCTCTTTTTCTTTAGACACTTTGCCATCTTCCTGCCAACTTGATCAGCTCATAGCTCTGCCATTACCCTTCTTTAGGTCTCTCTTGACACCACTGTGGGACATTTTGTCTATAATACTAATCACATCATTAAAAATGAACTCCAACCAATCCACAACAAAAATGCCTGCACTGGTTCCCTACTGCCCACAGAATACAGTCCAAGCTGCCTTACTGGACTTATACAACCATCCATAAGGTGAACCCAGTCTACCCTTCCCCCACACCATCCTGTTGGTTAGAACACTGCCCTGGGTCGTCATGTGGCTTGTTTGTATGGGCTCCGAATCTTTGGCCTTGCTTATTTTGATGCCTAGAATGCTTTCTCTACCTCACTTTGGGCCTGGAGTTTCCTATGCACCCATTCTCTAAAGCCCCAAAAGAAACCGTACCTTCTCAGCTAACTGTCTCCCTCAGGGAATTTCCACTTTCCTGATGGCTCTAGTATTATTGATAGCACCATTCATTTTATGCCCCAACAGCATCATGAGCTACATGTCCTATTATATATCAGTCATATGTACATATTTTTCTCTCCCTTTCTAGACAGTACCTTTCTGTGCAGGAATCATGTTTAGCATTTATTTTATATTACCTAGGCCCAGGACTGGCTACATAATTTGGGGGACCTAGTACTAAATGAAAACACAAGCCCTTTCAAAAAAATAATGAAGAATTTCAAGATGGTCACAGCAGAGCATTAAATCCAGCATGTGCCTTGTGAGGCTCTTGTGAGGCTGTACAGGTCACATGCTCAAGAAGCTATCCCTACCTAGGGTTATGTGTCCAGTAGAACACTCTGTATAACCAACAAACACTCAAATGAATAGATGGAGTGAATGAATAAATGAGTAATTAAATTAGTTCAATTCTTTTAAAGTCATGCTTTAGTTTGTGGGAGACACTTTGTTCCTAAAACTGAAGGAGAACAGTGCTATAGGCGACCATCATCAGTGGTTGACTGGAAAGCATTGGCTGAGGAGAGCCTGTTGTTATGTACATGTTAATCATGAAGAGTGTTAAAGGATACATTTTAGAAGAGAATAAAATCATGACTCTTAGACACATATAAAATAAACATGTCAGCAATTTTATTTAGCTCATAAATTAATGAGAGAACAAAAAAGATACTACAATTGGTTCAAAGGAAAATCCAAAGAGCAGATGTATTTATAGGCCATTAGGGCCATTAGGAATGCAGACATAATTTGCTTAATAGATGCAAAACTGGCTGCTGCCACAAAAGCTGAGGGAAGTCAGTCCAACCTCTATCAGACAGAATGTGAGTCTTTAGAGACAGGAATTATTTACATTACTCTTAATTTTCTGCGAGGTAATTTCGATCTCTACAGAGGTATAAAATAGCCTAGTCAAAGACAATGAAGGGCAAAGATAAGCCTGATGGATGGGCTAGTCAAGATGCCCAACTAAATTCCAGTCTTTCCCACTTCACGTAGGACAAAGGTAGGCCATGCCGGAGAAAGTGATCTTGTGTTGCTAATCTCCTCTCTGACTGCAGTCACCCAGAACTTGGGGGAAATCATTTCTTCAAATAGCTGTGGCCTCTTTTATTTCTGTTCCTGCCTGTGTAGTTGAGATTGCCTTTGTTGAGGAGTTTGGAAGGAAAATGTCTTTCCTTGGAACAACCAAGTCTGGAAGGGACTCCACAGCTGGAGTAGAAATCTTGGCCAGGTCACTTGGGATCATTGTTGTTTTTGGAAGGACTCCCTATTCTTAACAAAAGGTATATAGTTCTAAGTACTTTTAACATTACAAATTCTGAACCCCTGTGGGAGAATGGGCAAAGTGTATAAACATTTAGCCATTCCAAACAGCCAGATAGGCAGAATGCTTACCAGAGTATGCATCATTAAATATTAACCCATTTGTAAATTATGGATTTTATCAGTCTGTGTACTTGCTGCTCGTCCTCCGAGGGCTAACACCACGATACAGTTCAAACAACTCAAACTAAATCTTACAGGTAAAGTAAGACTCCCTTGTAGAAGATTCTATAACCTTGCTACTTCTTAGAAGGCCATTTATTAGAAAAAGCATTGTCTCAGGCCGCAGCTCAGATCTACCAGATTAAAATGGATAATTTATCAATTCTTGGGTGATTTGTGAGCCTTTCACCCATTGAGAAGTTCTGCAGTATAGTAAGTAGTAAGCCCTGAAAGTCACCTCTAATGTCCTTGATGTTTTCACAGGAATTGCCTATCTGTTTGCCAAAGCTTATCTGGTTTCCAAGAAACCGCAGTACCTGGACACATGTATCCGGTGTGGGGAACTCACGTGGCAGAAGGGCCTGCTAAAGAAGGGGCCGGGGATTTGCCATGGTGTAGCTGGCAGTGCCTATGTCTTTCTGTTGCTATACCGGCTCACAGGAAACTCTAAATACATCTACCGGGCCCAAAGGTCAGTTGTTTTTCACAAGTATTTTTTTCCTCCAACATTAACCTAATTAACGTGCTGAATAGGTAATAGAATCACAAAGTTTAAAAAGTGTAAAAAGAAATAGATCAACTATGCCCTCTAGCAACTTAGTTCACTTCCCAGGAGATAATCAGTAGTACCATTTCTTAATTATCTTCTCAGAGATGTTCTTTGTATATATACAAGCAAATAGGTGTATACAGAAAATTTTGCCCCTTTTTTTATACAACTGGTAGCACCTTGCTCTCTTAGCTATCACTCTAAATTAGCACATAAAGGACTTCATTTTTATTGTTGGTTAGTATTACGTTGTATGAAGAAACATCATTTATTTAACCAGTTCCATATAGAAGGATATTTGGATTATTACCAATATTTTGCATTACAAATAATGCTATGATGAATAACCATGTACATGTGTTACTTTGCATATGTATGGATATATCTGAAAGATAAATCCCTAGAAGTAGAATGACTGGGCCAAAGCATATATATATATATATTTGTGATAGTTTTTTATTGTACTAAGAACACTTAACATGAGATCTATCCTCTTAACATATTTTAAAGTTCACAATACCATATTGTTAGCTATAGGCACAATGTTGTACAGCAGATCTCTAGAACTTCCTCACCTTGCATTGAAACTTGATACCCATTGAGCAACAACTCCCCATTTCCCCCTCCCATCTAGTTCCTGACAACCACCATTCTATTCTCTGCTTCTGAGTTTGACTATTGTAAATACCTCATGTAAATGTTGTCATGCAGTATGTCTTTTTGTAACTGACTTCACTTAACATAATGTCCTCATTTATCATTTAGAACAGTACTTAGCACATTGTAACTGCAATTTGAGTGTTCACTGTTATTATTACTTAAAATTAAAGTTACATCACTTCAGACGTTTATGCATAAATGTTCATATATCTATGTGTATATATATATAAGTATGTGTGTATATATTAATAAGATCCTACTATTATGTATGTATGACAGTGCAATACATACCATTTGCAGCCTATAATTTTAAATGAACAATTTTCAAGGGAGCTCCTTTATTTCCATTTGTATAAATCTATTTCATTGTTTTAATAACTGTATAGTTATTTGCTGTAGATATACCATGATTAATTTAACCAATATTTAAGTAATGGGCACTTGGTACAAGTGCAATCTTTACTAATACAAACAAAATTGTCCCACATATCCAATATGTAACATTTCTATGTTCATGAAAGCATTCCTTGTCAGAGAAATGTTAGAATTGAGTTATGAGATACATAGGTATTTCTAGCTTGTCTTTATCTTTAGCCCATTTTTTCTCTGATTGTGATGCTTATATTATGGATTGTAACTGTTTGTCAATATATGCTGTAAATATTTTCCTACTTTGCCATTTCTCTTTCAACTTAGTTCATGATCTTTGGCCAGACCAAAATTTTAAGCATTTTTCTTGTCAAAGATAACAGACTTCCAAGAGTTCTAGATTTTGTGTTATCCTTAGAAAGGCCTTTCCTACTCCAAGGTTACAAAAACATTAATTTACCCTGAATTTTAATACCTTTATGATTTTAACTTTTCTTAATATAAGTTTATGCTCCTTTCACCTATTTATCCCATGCATTTAAAAGTTATTTTAACTTTTATATCTTTGATTAATCTAGAACTTACTTTTTTAAAAATGGTGTCAGTTAGGTATCTATCTTTGTGTTTTTAATGAAAAAGCAAAATTTTGCAATAACATCTGTTGAAAAATTACCCCAGTGACTTGAAATTCAGTTTACTATAAACTGAATTTATATAAATGTATGGGTTTTTTTGTAGACTTTCTATATTTTGTCATTCATTTATTTCTAATTTTTTCTTAGTTATTCTCTCCCATTTTTTCTTCCAATTATGTTTTAGATTCAGTTTTTCAAAATTTAAAAAAACCCTATGGAAACTTAATTGGAATTTCAATGAATTTATAGGTTACTTTAGTGAGAATTAACATCTTTAGAATATTGAGTTTTTCCATCTAGGAACATGGTATGTTTTCTATTTATTTAAGTTTTCAAAAATGTCATTTGTTAAAATGTTTTTTGGGGATGTGTTGTAATTTATTCAACCAATTCCCTTTTGATGGACATATATGTGGTTTCTAGCTTTCATCTATTAGAAACATAAAAATTTTTTTTAAGTATGGTTGACATATTATATTAGTTTCAGATGTACAATAATTTTGATCTTATGAAGAAAATCTTGTATGTTTCTTGTAAATTTTATTCCTAGATATGTTGTGTTTCCAGGTTTGTGAGTGGAATCTTTTCCTCCATTGTATTTTCAGGTCATTTATTACTGTATTTGTGAAAGCTTTTCAAAACACACATATTATTGCAGTTTAGCAACCTCAAATGCATTTCTTCCATATAAATCTGCATTGTTATCTATAAATACATCTTAGTTTTGATAAATATCACAATGATATATCTGGTCACCTAACAGAACTCCATTACTATTTCTATTAGATTTGTATTAGATTCTATTGGGTTTTCTAAATGCACACACATATTATCTGCCAATAATTATCATTTTGTTACTTCCTTTCTCTTTTGTATACTTTTTGTTTGTTTCCTATTTCAGGGGTCATAATCTCCATAAAAATGTTCAATAAGAAGAGGAATAGTGAACATCCTTGCTTTTATGCTGATTTTATTAGGAATGCTTCTATGTTTTACTCTGATCTTTTAAATTTGCTTCATATAATGAATATCATGTCAGATTATGACACCTCTGTTCAGGATAGTCCAATGGTTTCCCGTATGACTCAGAGTAAAAGCCGAAATCTGTCCTCTGAATGAAAAGCTTTATAGGATCTTGCATCCCATTCTCTCTCTGATATCATCCCTTATTCTTCCCCCTAGTTCTTTCCACCATGGTGGCTTATGATTCTGTTAAGATGCCAGGTACAATGTACCTCCAAGCCTTTGAAGTTTTGGTTCCCTCCAACTGTAATGCTCACTTTTTACATATATCTCCCAGCTCCCTCACTTCATTCAGACCTTAACTTAAAAGTTATTTTCTCAGAAATGCCTTACAAGCCAACTTATCTAATATTCAATGTTAAAAACATAGAATGTCTTTTATGATATTTGCATGTATGTACTGAAGGAAAAATACTAACATGTGGAAGTCCTCTATTGGAAGTTCAATTGTTTAGGAATTCTGTGAACATATTTTGCTTCCTAGATCCCTAATCTGTTTGGGTTGCAGCCTGGCTCTTTATTTCCCAAATGTAGAAAAGAAAGTCATTTTGGATCTCATCTAGGCTAATGCGATATCACCTTCGGGATAAATGGCATCAGAGATTGTTGCCTTAGAAAGCCTATTTTTCATCAGAGGTTGTTTGCCTTAGAGGGACTATTTTTTAATAGGGTGAAAACAACCCCTCTATTTTTCTGGCAGACTAGTCCTAGCTTACAGAGCCTTAATTATAAAGTCCAGGGGTTGCCCTTCAGACAACTTAAATTTTTCACTTATAGGTAGAGACTGAAAATGTGCACATAAATCTGAATATTGTTTGGACAGTGCACTTAATTGTTTAGGGTACTGGAATTTCCACTTCATTATAATTCCATATTTTGCCAGTTCCTAAAACAGTAATGTCAAACAATATGTACCTTCCTGGAATAACTATTACTTGGTCATTACCTATTGCTCTTTTAAAATACCGTTGGAATTTATGCTTACAGAAAAATACTTGATAACCTTTCCAGTTTCTTCTATGATTATTTAATTATTTAGGTTTTTGACCTCTTCTTGAATTAATTTTGGTGGTGGATATATTCCATAAAAGCTTCTAGTCCATATGGATTTTCAAACATTTGATGTAAAGCTCTAACAGTATAGCTCTGTGGTGTTTTAGCATCGGTGATTATGTGCCTTTTGCATTGCTGATTTTTCCTTTTTGGTCATACACATTAGCATTTTGTCTATGCTGCTCATCCTTTCAAGAACTGGCTTTTGGTTTTGTTTATCAATTACTTTTGTTTTTCTCTTTGGCTTCCTGATTCAGTATTTCCTGCCTTTATTTTGGTTTTCCAGCATTCCTTTCTTTCATTTTGTTATTTCCTCCAGTATTTTTAAATGCTTAATTAGGATATCTTCCATCTTAATAATAATAATAATAATAATAATAATAACTCAGATCAATGCATTTTCCTGAGTTCAGTTTCGGTCATAATTAATAGGTTTTTGTATATAATGTTTTCGATGTCTCTATTCTTTTTAGTTCTATAGTTACCATTCTGACTTCTATTTTGATAGAATTTTTTAGAAAAATGAATTTGTTAGTTTGAATTTTGTACCATTGGGTAGATTTTGGAAACAATCATATTCACTTTAATATGATAACACACTATGCAAGTCAGAAGACAATGAAACTGTATCTCATACATTGCTGGTACTCTTTTAAACAATATTTCATTTAGAAATTATTTTGAAAAACACAAAGAATATTTATCACACTATTTTTAAGTAAAAAATGTAATATACCAAAATAGAATACAGATTATAATTTCAATAATGTAATAAAGAAATCAAAGTTCTGGGACAAAAAGGTTGGAAGGAGAGACAGCAAAGTTAACTATGTGTTTCTTTTAAAGTAGAGTGGAATGATTGTTTTACAAATATTTTGCTGTAATATGTTTATGTAAAAAAATGATATTTGCCATGTCTTGGATATTTGCCATATGCTCAGAGCCTAATATATGGCATCTTTAATCTTTACAGATAATCTTTCACAGTTCTGCAACTTCACTATTTTAAAGTCAGATTAAGAAATTTGCCAAAGGTCATGTAACATGAAATTATAAGAGTTGGGTATTGCAACTTGAAGTGCTTCCTTGTGCTACCACACCAGGGCTTCTTAATCTAGTTTGTGAATTTACATGAGAAAAGTATTACAGCTCAAACTGAAACGTAGCATTTCCTTCAATTCCGAATATAGGCAATAAGCCACAGGAGAATTAGCAGTAGCTATGACTCTGTCTCTAATAGAAGTCACAGATATTCTCATGTCCTATTACTGTTGTTGCAGACTATAACAAAATATATTTTACTTCCATCACTACTTAGAAAGGTCAGCAGTTATTAGACCTGCTACTAGATATTATCATTTAATGTGTTAATAAAATGTATATTAATATGTGTATCATACATAATACATATATAAGAATATATGTACTTATATATATTATTATAAAAGCAAATTTGGTTTTAAAACTTTTCCTGTGCTTTAATATAATTAATTTCTATGGGAAGCCTGTGTATTTTATTTTATGTATCTGAAGACTTTTTTCTGAGGAGTCCAGACTGCCAAATGATATATAGCACTAAAAAGGTTAAGACTCCCTGAAGCTACACCATGACATTTCATTGTATAATTACAAATTTTGAAGCAGCTCTTAAGATTCATTGCTATTTCACTGTTTGAAATTTTGAATTCCACTTAAAAAAATCATTGCACATTCAGAAAAACACTTTATAGAAAAATTGTACCAAACAGAACTGCAGTGTTGCCTGCTGACTTATTTTAAGCTGCCATCAGCAATTTCAAGAGCCCTAAAAAGATCCAATAAGTAAATACTCTTCATAAGATCCCCTATGTAGTAGTAGTAATCTAAACTTACGGCAGTATCACCCCTTAGGCCTTACCAAGCTGTGAGTTTCAGCCACTAAACTGGTGATTGTTTTTGTTGCTGATGGGAACCAACAGAGAAAGTCAGCAAAGAGATGACATAGGTGACAGCAATTTAAGAACTGTAAACTAAAAATGCTACTCATTATAAATAAATTGAATAGGATTGGTGGCAAATGCAGGTAAAAGAAAAAAGATCTTTTATAGAGAATTTAGAGGCCAGTGATTTCTTTTTAAGGTGGATGTCCTAAAAATAATCTATCTTATAGCTGGGTTTGCTACTTGATGTCATGCTTATAAAATGTTATTTGCCTTTTCCCATTCATCTTATTCCTTTGTTTGCCCAAAGCACAGATTGTATAAAATCTTGCCCATTTATTTTCACAGCCTCTGCTCTCTGTCACATAGAAATGAAACCCAGCCCAGAAATAATATGCCTGCAGAAACACAGCATATTTACTCTTAAAGGAACAGTCATACATCAGCTTGCTTCTATGCAAGATAAATAAAAATACAGCTATTAATCCGATTTTTTTTACCTTTAATTATTGGAGGGCAGAAGGAATGAAATCTTCATATAATAGCAAATTGCTTTGCTTTGCAAATTCTGAAAATAGTTGAATTTGCTTGCCATCATAATTGGTTGTGAAACCTATACAATTGTATAATGGATCATTGTTTGTTTTTAGCAGAATAAGGCTTTCTTAAAATATACAATTCTGAAAAGAAAATGGTGCTAAAACTTTAACTTAGAAGAGAGGAGGAAGCAAACCAAGGTGAATAATATGGACTCACTTATGATAAAATTGTTCATATTTTCTTCTTCTCTTAGGTTTGCTGAATTTTTATTTACTGAGGAATTCAAGGCTGGTTCTCGGGTCCTTGAGAGTATATACAGCTTGTATGAAGGTTTCTCGGGGACGGTGTGCTTTCTGATCGATCTGCTGCAGCCTAATCAGGCTGAGTTCCCTCTCTTCAGTGTCTTCGTTTAGATGACTCCATCTCCCACTGTGGCCCTGCAGAAAGTCCCTGAGCTTTCCTGAGCAGACCTGAGGCAGTTTCCACATAAGCTACATTCAATGGTATCACAGCCATGAGCCTTAACATCGCTGCTAGAAGGAGGGGAGGGAGCAGGCAGATGAAGGCAACATGATGCCAGACTTAAGGGAGAACAGTCTGAGAACCTGAGAAATAAAAACATCACAACTCTTCCAAAAAAGTAGAGGTTTAATATTTCAGGGAATAGATGTGAAACCAGAGATCAGAGGAAAAGGGAAAGAAAAATCATCTGTCTGTCAGTTATGGCAGAGAAAACGAAAATGAAATGTGGGCTAAGGCGATAAAATGCCAGTACCTTTGCAATTGGAGAGAGAATTTGACCATTTGTGGGAGGCCTCCACCCCTAAATTCAGAAATAAAGACAATTAAGAACCAGTCATTCAGCTGAAAACTGCTAGAAGAGATGAAGTGTCAGGTTGCTGAAGGACACAAGAGGGAACTCTTGGTTGTCCTATGCCTTTACTTACTGAAATTCATGATTTTTATTGAATGGAGAAATTTAAATATAAATCTGTTTTTTATCATTTCCCTGGGCACTTTAAAGAAATCATATCATAACTTAAGTTTCAACCCTGAAATTTGAATTTCCCTAGGCCTTACATCTCTTTTCCTGGTTTCTTTGTCTTTCCTAAAGCTCAATTAAAATAGTAAAATGCATAGGCTAGCCAAATATTGTAGCAAGTGTTGCTGTGCAGTATTTTTCTCAGCTTGAAGTGTGAGCTATGTATTATCTATTGTTAGTAAATTTTAAAATGCCTTTGTTGGCCCTATGAAGCTGTTAGCTGAACTATGAAACATACTCCTGGTAAAAATCACTTATGTCAAAGATCAGGGTAACCACTGCAAAGTATGTCTCTTCTGCCTTTGATGGAATACTGTGTTCCATGGGACAGGCAGACTCTGGCTGAGAAAGGAACTAGGGGTTGTGAAAAGAACATTGCTTAGTTTTATGCTATTAGATTAAGAGATGAGTGGACTCTGTGGCTGATCAGCTTACCTTCCAAGACACAGGCTCCACTAGAAACTGTCTACGGTACCCACTGGCCAAGTTGTTATATTACATTGACCCTGCACCCTGCTTTAAACACATAGATGTTATAAAACTACTTGAGGTAAATAGTGGGCTGTAGAACACTGTAGGAGCATCTGTCAGATCAGAATACAAGTTAACCCTTTTTAGAATTTGGTCACTGGCAATTTCATGTATCAGAGTAAAGAGGAAATTGCATGGTGTTTAAGATCTAACAATTATTTAAATAGTAAATATTTGGATATATGTGCTGGATGTAAAAAAAAGTATATATACTCACACACACACACAAACATACACAGATTATATTCTACATCTATCCCTATGTAAACCCAGGTACTTATTTAGTTCAGTAGTTCCTAACTTTTTGATTCATAGATGAACTTTGGGAGAAGCTGGGAAATACTTGGTTGCCTAAAACTGTGTGTGTGTTGGCATGTACATGCATGTGCCTGTGTGCTCGTGGTGGTGGTGGGGGGCACTCGTTTTTCCAGGAAGAGGACCTCTAGCATTCATAAGAGTCTCAGAGTATCTGGCTGAAGAAAGATAGGTTCTGCCTTTGTATACTGTATGACTCCATGTTTGCCCTTATCAGAAAAAACTATGACAAGATCATTTTGAAAGCATGTACGTTTTAGTTTATTGTTTAATTTCCACATCCTCAATATAAATATATAAAATTGGCCTCAGTTGTTCATCTTTGAAAATACTCAGGTTGAGGCCTTGCCACATAATTAGCAGCTCTCAGATGACTCCCAGAGTTGGGTTCTAGAAGTTCTTTCATGAATGGTAAGACTTCTAAGAAAGACTTTAAGGCAAAATGCCTTCTACAAAATCATCTTTTGAAGTGGTAGTGATACCTGCCTTCCACCATCTGGTTTTAAATTTACTTCATTTGACCGCCATAGGCTAAAGGTTATAGGGATCCAGTATACAGGGCTTTGTGGAACACATGCCATTTTAATTGTCTAGCAATCTTTCAGGGTTACTTAGGTAATTGATCCCAAGTCTCACAGCTAGGAAGGGGCAAAATGAGGATTCAAATCCAGCATTTCACTTCACAAGTTATTTAGTCAGTACACTAGACTAGAATCTGGGGGTACAGCAGTGAGCAAAATATGTTGGATATTACCTTCTATTTCTGTTAGCTGATCCTTCAGCCATTCATACTTGAGACCTAAAACCTAAGGCACTAAAAAGTAATCATCCAGCTCAACATATCAGTTTTATCTCCAGGAACATCAGACAAAGTAGACTTGTTCCTGCTCACACACCCTTTTAGGGTCCAGTAGGGTAACTATGACATTGTGCTGACCATTGGGAAAAGGCAACCCTTTTGTGCGTCAAATCCAAGCAAAAGCCATGTTTGACTGTGTCTTTATGAATTGACACTTTGGTAACTTAGAGTAAATGAGAAACAAGGGTTTAGTACTTAAACATGTTGAAAGTTCATTTCATTTTCCTGAAAGCATAAAATTATAGGTTTGGAAAGTTCCTTCTGTATCTTGTTTTCCCAAGAAGGGGAAAAAGTACCCTTAAGTGTTGCTGTAGAAAAGTGGGGCATGTCGCTTCTTGTTTAACCAACTTGTTCTTTTCTATGTAGTAATGTTCTTGTTTTTGAATAGTGTTTAAACACATTGCCTCTTGAAGGCTACGGGGGCATTTTCACCACCACTCATATAACTTTAGTATTATTTATACAGTATGTGTCATGAACTGTTATGAACCCTGAAGGTAACAGTGGAAATATTTGAGGCTAGACTGAAAGAATCTCTCAATAATGGGGAGACTCCATTATACTTGGAGAACAGGAAGTTTTGGAAAATATTATAACTGTATATTTTGTTTCACTAACAAAATTAAGTACTTTCTCTTCCATCATACCCAAAAATATTATATTTATTTATTTTGCCCAATCCCATTTCAATCATCAGTTTTTACTTTTTTGTTCTATTTGTAACGTAATAATTGAGGTTGGACAAACAGGTTAGACAGCTTGTATTCCCCTGTGATTCTTTAGGTAACTGACTACACATTTTCTGATAACTTGAGAAACAGTCATTTTCTTGGTCTGTGCTAAACTGGAACTTTTCCATGGCAATTTATATCTTTGAGTTTCTTTGACACACTAAGATTTTTTTTTTTTTTTTTTCAAAGTTATCTAAACAGAAGTGGGTGCTCTGATCAGCCCCATTTTGCACCTCAGTAAACTTTCACTTTGATTTTAAATAGAATTTTCAGAGCCTCAAACAATTTCAAAGTTATCTAATTTCTCTCTTGCACTTTTAATTAAGGGAGAAGCAGATAGTACACTTCTGCAGACAGTACACGTGCAAATATAAACACATGCATGTATACATAGATCTCAGCATTATACAGATGGGTAAACTGATACTTAACAGGGTCAGGGTTCCAGTCAATTGATCTGAATTGCTGAACTGAGGCCAAAAGTTAACTTAAAATGATTTAATACCACTATTCACTATAGTCAGAAGGCAAAAACAACTCACTCACATGTCCGTCAAACAATGAATGGATAAATAAAATGTGGCGTAGTCTAAAGGAATATTACTCAGCCACGAAAAGGAATGAAATTTTGATACATGCTATAAAATGGATGAACCCTGAAAATATTATGCTAAGTGAAATAAGCTGGACACAGAAGGCCACATATTCTATGATTTTATTTACATGAAATGTCCAGGTCAAGCAAGGCAATAGAGACAGAAAGCTGATTTGTGGTTGCCAGAAGCTAGGGGAGAGGGAAAGATGACTGTCTATAGGGCACAGGGCTTCTGTTTGAGGTGATTCAAAAGTTCTGCAACTAGATACTCATTTTGGTTGAACAACAATGTCAATATTCTTAATACCACTTAACCTGCATGCCTTAAAATAGTTAAAATATTAAGTTTTATGTCATATGCATTTTTGCTGCAATTTAAAAAAAATGACTCAATGCCTCTTCCATTGCACATGGGGTACAATCCAGTTTCCTTTTCTTGGTTTACAAGAACCTTCCAAATCTGTCTTCTCCACCTGCGCTGGCTCTCAACTCCTACCACTTCTCCCATCTCACCCAACCTGGAGCTGAGCCCAAACACTCCCCCTTCAAGCCATCTATCATCCCACTGTGTCTGTCTCCTGCAGCAACCCCTGGCCAGAGCCCCCACCTACATCTCTGCCCAGAGAAGACCCACTTGTGTTCAAGACTCAACTGAAGTACAGCCTCGTCTGGAGGCTATCATTGAGCCCCTCACCATGGACTGGGCAAAGGCTCAACATGTTTACATACTTGGACACACTAAGATTTTAATCAAAGTAGTATGCAAAGTGTTTCAATTTCTGTACAGAACAAATCTTAATAATTTTAATGCAACAAATGTAAGTTTGTGATAACATATCAAGAAAATGCAGGATTAAAAGGGAAAACATTACTAATGCAAAGAGCCCTGTGTTAGAAATCATAAAGCCTTGCTCTGCCATTTCCATAAGGCCACAATAATAATAAATTATAATAAATAATAATCACCCTCTCCACCTCACAGGTTTGTTATAAGGGTTGTCAATGATAAGATGAAAATAAGAGAGTTCTGTATATGTAGGTCCTTTATATATTTAAAAGAGAAGCTATATTTTAAGTACTCACCTTTCTACTGCACAGAAAATCATGCTCAACTACAACTTCAAATAAGCATTTCAGTAAAATGGAATCTCCATATGTGCATGTAGTGCTAGGGGTCTGATCACTTGATGGGTAAAAACAAAATACACATTTTTTCTTCTAAATTCAGTCCTGATGATAATATTTGTTGCCTCAGAAAGTTCTGATTCACTGGCGCTTAGTACATAGGAATAGTCTGGTTTAGCTCGGGAGCTCCTTTAATGTAAATATTTATTTTGCTTGCTGGAAACAAAGGATTACAGTGCCAGTAATGTGAGAAAAGGAGCTGGCAGGCTAGGTCTGCAGAGCAAAAATGAACTGGAAACAAAGTACTTTTAGTTGTGTTTGGTCTGCACTTTAATTCAGGCCTCAGAACTGCATGACATACAGTGATAGAAATATACTCTCAATTGCATTATAAGGCTTTCCTTTGGGGAGCTGGGTTATTTATTCAACACTATTCCAAATTAATAGCTAAATGACCTGCCTCAGATTCAGCAAGGCCATGTTATCTTGGCATGAACTTGGCAAGGAAAGCAAATGAGAAGGCCAGCAAAGGGCTGGGTGCGGGAAAGCTTGCTGCCTGCTCAACATCTCAGTGTGAGTTGTGGATGCACATTTAATGTGGCTAAGAACCAGTCATCCTACTCATGGGTGTTATTGTTTCTTGGGACCTCTAATCCCTACCCACCTACCCCCACCCCCACCCCTGATTCAGCAACTTCTTGTCTTCTTCCTCCTCTTTAAATAGTACCTTCTGATATGTTTTTTCCTGTGTCTGCTTAATCATGTGACCTCCTTTTGCCTGGGAGGGCAGGTTTTCTCATTATCTCTTCCATCCATGTCAGTTCTTAGCTGAAAGCTCCAGGCTCAGTAAGGCTGGACTCCCCTCTGGACAGAAGCACCGCCCTCCAGGTCAGCAACAGGAGTTGGGCCCATTCTGCAGTCAGATCACAGGTCCAGGGCAGCCCACCTTGAGTGCAGCTCTGCATGGGAATAGAATGGCGACTGTATTTATCTGCTTTTCCTCCGTAAAGAAACCTGGTCATTTAACTTGTATGTCATGGGAAAAAAAGTTGATGCTACTTTAAATATCTGTGCCTCTACATTATCAAAATTCTCATACTGGGGGTGCCCTCTCTCTCCTTCTTTGACTGAAAGTGCTAATGAATTGAGGCCGGATGGATGATGCCTTTAGGGTTTAAAAACATACTTTTAGATTTTCTTAAGTATTGAACTTTGTCATTTCCACCTAGACTCTTCCACAAATGGCAATGTCCCTTAGCTAGAGAATTTTCTGCATCTTCTTTTGCCTTTGTGGACCTGTTACTTACCCCTCTAAACTGAACTTGAAAAATTGTTTAAAATGAAAACTAAATCATCCATATTTTTGTTCTTGGTTGGGAGGTAGTATGGTAAAGGAACAGATTATCCTTTCTTTTCTTGCTTTCTCCTCTCTGTACAATATTGAAGAAGAAGGGAGAGAGGTAGAAAAGATAAATAAGGCTTGATTGTCAAGGACTGTGAAAACAGTTTGCAAGGCCTTCCTGTTTGTTTCTTCTTAGTCCGGTGTGTGTGTGTGTGTGTGTGTGTGACAGAGAAAGAGAGACTAATTTAAGGAGACTCAGTATCACATATGAAATAAAACCCAACATTTAGCTATTAAATATATCTAAGTGAATGGATGTACACAAACATATGTTGATTAAAGAATGGGTCCTCATTGTGTGTTAACTACTCTAACAAATGAGCACATAATTAATGAAAGCCCTAGTTAGACTTATAGTTGTCTATCTTAAGTATTCATTTTCATTAAAACTTCTGCCAGGGTAAAGCCATTAGTAGTCAACAGTAGAAGATAACAGATGTGAATTTCACAAATAGAACCACAAATGTGAGTCACACATAATTTTGAAATTTCCTAGTAGCCACATGAAAAAGTAAAACTCAAAATGTGAAATTAATTTTAGTAATGCATTTGATTTAACTCAGTATATCCAAAATGTCATTTCAACATGTAATCTGTGCAAAATTATTAATGAAATATTTTACTTTTTTTTGTTATGAGGCTTTAAAGTCTGGTGCATATTTTGTACTTACTACACATCTCAAATCAGTCACGCCACATTTCTAGTGCTTAAGAGCCACCTGTGGGTTGGCTACTCTATTGGACAGCACAGGGCTAGCATCCCACTGCTGTTTCACAGTATTGATGACATCTTTTTACAGCTTGTGGATATTTTTGTTGTTATAAGATAAAATTGAAACAAAACCCTGCATGCTATTTGAGTACTTTGGAGTTTCCCAAATGCTGAACCCTGGTAGCAAGATCTGTCCTGTGGAAAAATAGATTCTGTGACTAAATAAGTTAGGAAAGTTCTGGTTTTTTTGCACCTTTTTGGAGATATCCATGGTGCCACTGTATCACAGACTCTGAGAAAACCTCCCTGTGTAAAGCAACCTGTTTGAAATTGTTGAGTTCTGTAAGGTCCAACCTCCTGATTGTCAATGTTGCCCAGCTGCTAGTTTAAAAACATGGTTAGTCTTGCATGGTATGTTTATGGTATGCTTATAATATTTGTTATGTGCCCCCCCCCCAGGCACATTAAGGATGACTTTTGTCCCAGAGTATTAATCCCTACTAATGATCTTGTCCTTATGAAGGGGTCATTCTTTTCCACACTTGTAGGGAAAAGAATTCTGGAATTGCCTCAAGTGTCTCTACATAAGAAAACCTTTGTGTCTTCCCCTCCTTCTCCTCTCTTTTTGGAGCCTGTCTCCTCTTATTCTTTGTATTTGGAGTCACCTGGGAGCCAAGATATTATCTTCTTATTCTAGAACTACCTACTAAACTGAAACCAGGAGACGGCTTTAATGTCTTGCATATGGACAAAGATCTTCAGAAAGTACCCAAATACACACCTTCCTCTCATTCTTTCAGAATGATGAGCACACTAAAAAGGGGAGAAACACTTGAGTGGATAAACAGAATACAGCTTAAGTAGAGTAATGCTGTTTCTGCTGATGCTTTCTTTTCATATTTTGTGTGTCATTTTAATTTACGTGCTTAATGTGTGCTGTTTTGCTAAAGTGGCTGTGACTTAGTAATCAGTTTAAAGAAGATACAGGCTATTGACAGCTGTCAGTCTTTAGCAAATTATCTTTTTGCCTTTGTTTTAATGGGAGCTCTGAGGCTGCCTTCATAAATTTTGTTTTACAATCTGTGCTTAAGTGGCTATTACCAATGAAATAACTTCTGTGGCTGAATTTGGTCCAAGTTGACTGTAGTAACCCTTATATGTGGATGTATTCAAATAAGAAGATTGATTTAAGTGATCGGTTTTGTCTCTGTTTTTTAGGACTTCTGTACTTCAATATTAGAGATATCTTCTGAAGACTATAGCAGCACTAAAACCCCTTTGCTTTCAAAAATGCAAAGAATACCATGAGTTTTATATAGATTCTCCAAGAGTAGGAGTGGAAAATTCTAAGTGCAAAAGTTTGGTTTTAGAATCTGTCTGATAAGGAAGCACAGCCCATTCTCTTAAAAGGTAACAGCTTTCCCATCTTGGAAACAGCTCAGCGAGCTCTACTTGGAAAGAAGGTCTGGATTTTAATCTCATGGATTTAATGGCGCTAAATCAACAAAAAAAAATTTAATGGATTTTGTAGAATCCAATTATTAGGGGAAAGACTTTGCAAAGCCATATACTGTGGAATAGTCAGTCAGTGCCACGTTAGTTTCATAATGTGCATTTCCCAAGTGAATAGAATTTACTTCCCCAAAATGATTTTTCGCACAATTCACAATATTTACAGAAATGTGATTGTATCACTGGAGGAAAAAAGCTCACCTTCCTAGTGATACATTTCACATTCAATAGTAAACCAGTGCAATTCCTTAATTATTTGGGGGGATAGACAAGAGTAATCTGTCAATAGAATATAACTGCTTGTTCCTAATTGCACCTAGGAATGAATACATACTATTATTTAAAGTACTATTGAATTTTGAGAAACTACTCAACAAATTAATAAAATTGTACTCTTTTCAATACATTTGCCTCAGCACAAATGCAGTTAAAAACATAAACTTATAAAAAATACACCAAATAATAGAGATTAGTTATTTTACTTTAAAATCCTATTAATATCCATTAGCACTAAATCCAATACCAGTTATTGGTTATATATAACTAAAATTTTGAAACTCTTGCGCACAAAATGAGAGGCTTCTTTAAAAATATCTTTTTGCCAAAAAATAGGTTCTATAACCCTTTGCTAATTATTATATTCCTTTATCACAAAATGTTGTAGTACTATATTTTATAATAAAACCAAATTCTTAAGTATTCTGGTATGTTACATATTACGATACCAAAAAACCACTTTATATAAGTCTATTATTGTGTATATAATATTTTCAAAAAATGGATAATGCAGTGCTAGGAAGAAAGTCTAATACCAATACATGACATTAAATTGATCTTTAGTCAAAATCCATTTAGGTATTTGACAGGGAAACAAGCAATCATATGCTTGAAGGTATATATTATTCTCAAGGACAAAATGGTAAATGTTAATACATAAAGGCTTGGTCACTGGGGCAAATTAGCTGGTATGCAGACTGAGAAAGATCAACTTACATGTGCTCATCAGATTTTAGCTTTTGTTATTGGTTGTTCCTGGAGGGGAAAGTGCTACAGTCAGTTGATGTTGCCTCCCCTTCACATGGGGTGTCTGCTCACAGTCACTGCATGGTATAATGAAATCTCTTTAGAAGCAGGATTGAGTCACGAGCTTTGAAATGCACCTTACTGATTTAAAAACTGCTATTACAATGTTCTAAACACTGTGATATTTCCAAATGTGTTTTCTGTATTAGTTTTGTACTGTAGAAAATAATTTGCCTAAACTGGACTCCATAGTGCTTAACGCAATTTTGTTTATTGGCTTATCACCCCCTCCCATATTTATGTACAGTCTTCTTAATAATGTAAAACCTGTGTTAATCCTTTGCCTTAAAATAAAATCTAATGCTAAATATTGAGTATGCTGTAATTAATAATTCTAAGCCACAAATTAATTTTTATTTTAAAGCTTAAAGCCGTGTCAAATAAAATATTAACAAATACTCTGTGGAGTGTTGCTGCCTATTCTGTATTTGTGACAGTATGTGTATCTTGATCCAGGACATGGTGGCCTCCTAGGTGCTATAAATAGATACTAGTAATCCTTTTAGAGAATGGGCCTGGTACCTCTCAGCTGTCTGCTGAATCCTCCGCTTAACCCTTATAAATAGATGTTCCCATGCCACACAAGAATGAAGAAAAATAGCCCTTCACGTTCTCCCCCTCTACAATTTTTTGTCTCAATTCCTACTGAATCTTCACATGCTGTTCATGTTGACATTTTTTCCTAAATAGATGGCAGATATACCTTACAATTGATAGAATTACCTAATTTCAGCAGGAAAAGAGAGCTTGCAATTATTAAAGTCTAATTCCTTATGGAGCAGATTAGGACCTGAGTTTTAAAGAGATTTAGTGACTTGTTCAAGCTCTGAGGACAAGGGTACACTGAGCCCAACCTGATGTCAAGAAGGCTGTCACTAGTTCAGTGAGTGAAAAGGAATTGTCTTAGTCTTAGGGCTGGCACACACCCGCAAGCAGAGGTATGCCTTGGGGCAGAAAACCACTTCCTTATTAGGCTCTTGTCTTTGCCCTATCTGAGTTAGCCACCGTTACAGAGGAATAAGTTTTGTAGGCAGTTTTTCTGGGAGAGAAGACGTTGGCTCCTAAGGATTGTTTCTGATACTCTTTCACCACTGGAAATGATGCTTCAGACACTGTATTTGGAAGATGGAGAGACATGCTTACTTGGCACAGGGAAAAGTTAAATTCTGGGTGCATGACAATACAGCTGTACTTTGAAAAGCATCTGAGTGGTCTGGTTATTTTGAAATGACCGGAAACACTGGCCCTTTGAGGCATTTGACTTCCTTAAGCCCAAAAAAAGGATTCTGGGCTGGAAAAGCATCCAGACTGCAATTTTGGGTCCAGTGAGTTGCTGTTTTTTCTTTTTTAATTGGAATAAAATTGATATACAATATTATATTGGTTTCACATGTACAACATAGTGCTTCAGTAATTATATACATTACTAGATGCTTACCACAGTTTTAAGTATAGTTCCCCGTTACCATACCAAGATATTATAGTATTATTGTTATATTCTCTGTGTTGTACTTCCATTCCTATGATGAACTTGTTTGCAGTTTGTAACTATCCCTTTCATTGATTTCATCCCGCCCCCCACCCCCGACTCTCCCTATGGTAACCAACAGCCTTGTTGTCCATATTTCCATAAATATTTTGTTTCTTTTGTTTCTTTTGTTTTTTAGCTTCCACATATAGGTGGAATCATACGGTATTTGTCTTTCTCTGCCTAGCTTAATCCATGTTGTCCCAAATGGCAAGCTTTCCTTCTTTTTATGGCTAATGTCCATTGTGTATACGTACCTCATTTCTTTATCCATTCATATATTGATGGGGATTTGGGTTGCTTCTATATCTTTGCTATTATAAATAATGCTGCAGTGAACATAGGGGTGTATATGTCTTTCTGAATTAGTGACTTTGTCTTGTTTGGGTAAATTCCCAGAAGTGGAATTGCTGGGTGATATGGAATTTCTATTTTTAGTTTTTCAGGAACCTCCATACTGCTTTCCACAGTAGTTGCACCAATTTACATTCCCACCAACAATGCAGAAGGGTTCCATTTTCTTCACATCCTCAGCAACACTTGTTATTTCTTGTCTTTTGAATAACAGCCATTCTGACTGGTGTGAGGTGATACCTCATTGTGGTTTTGATTTGCATTTCCCTGATGATTAGTGATGTTGAGCATTTCTTTTTCATGTGTCTGTTGGCCATCTGTATGTTTTCTTTGGGAAAATGTCTATTCAGGTCCTCTGTCCATTTTTTAATTGGATTATTTGTTTTTTTTGGTGTTGAGTTGTATGAGTTCTTTATATACATTGGATATTAGCCCATTATCAGTCATATCATTTGCAAATATATTCTCCAGTTTGGTAGGTTGCCTTTTTTTTTTATAGCTAGACTTATCAAGAAGAAAAGAGAGGACACAAAATCAGAAATGGAAAATGGGGAGTTACAACCTGCACCCCAGAAATTCAAAGAATTATAAGAATTATATGAGAAATTATTTGCCCATCAATTGGACAGCCTAAAAACTTAGATAAATTCCTAGAAACATACAGCCTTCCAAAACTGACCCAGGAAGAAGCAGAAAATCTGAACAGACCAATTACTAGTAATGAAATTGAACTAGAAATAAAGAAACTCCTAATAAATTAAAATCCAGAACCAGATGGCTTCACAGATGGATTCTACCAGACATTCAAAGACTAGCTAATACACATCCTTCTGAACATATTCCAAAAAATAAAAGAGGAGGGAATACTTCCAAACTCATTCCATGGGGCCAGCGCCACTCTAATAACAAAACCAGACAGACACCACAAAAACAAAAAATACAGACCAATATCCCTGATGAACACAGACTCAAAAATCCTCAACAAAATATTAGTAAACCGAATTCAAAAATACATCAAAAGGATCATTCATCAGGACCAAGTGGGATTTATTCCAGGGATCCAAGGATGGTACAAGAGTCGTAAATCAATCACTGTGGTACACCACATTAACAAAAAGGCAGGATAAAAACCGTATGATTATTTCAATAGATGCTAAAAAGGCATTTGACAAAACTCAACATCCATTCATGATAGAAATACTCAACAAAGTGGGTGTACAGGACACGTATCTCCACATAACAAAGGCCATGTACAACAAACCCACAGCCAATATACTCTTGGGAAAAGCCGTTTTTTCTAAGAACGCTTGTAACGCGCCTGCCAGCCAAGGGCTCTAGGACCCAGAGGCTGCGGCGGGGCTAGAAGGGCCCGCCGTACCCTCTGGGACTCAGGCGCAAGCTGCGGCGGGACGCGGGTTCGGGGCCCGCCAGAGGACGGTCGCCGCGGGGACGCCGCCGACACTCTGGCGCTCGGGAGGCGCACAGTGCGCGTGGGCGTGTCTCCGAGAGGCCGCGCTCCCCGCCCCACCCGAGCCGGGTCGGTTGCCCCCAGGCCCGTGCCCTCGGCGGGCAGCGCAGAGCGCGGGAGCAGTGGGGGCCGGGTATGCCTGCAGCCCCTTGGGCGACCGCCGCCGCCACCGGTACGCGCCGCTGACGCGCAGAGATGAAATTCCCGGGTTCTGTGCTGGCGTCCGTGTTCCTGTTCGTGGCCGAGACGGCGGCGGCGCTATACCTGAGCAGCACCTACCGCTCGGGCGGGGATGGCATGTGGCAGGCGCTGACGCTGCTTTTCTCCCTGCTGCCCTGCGCGCTTGTGCAGCTCACGCTCCTCTTCGTGCACCGCGACTTCAGCCGCGACCGCCCGCTCGTGCTGCTGCTGCACCTGCTGCAACTCGGGCCCCTCTTCAGGTGAGTGCGGGACCCGGGGCCCTAGGCCGCAGACCCCGGGCATTCTCCCCTACCTGCCCTAGCGAGGGGAGCGGCATTCCGGTTAGGACGGGTGGTGGACAGGGTCCCAGCCGGGCCGCCCTGCCCCTCAGCCTTGCCGTTCCAGGCACAGGAATGCGACAAAATCCCGGGGGGTTGCGAATAAAACTGGGGCGTACTGCGTTCCCCTCAGGTGCTAGCGTGTGAAACAGCCAATGTTCAGCTGAATCTGACCAACATAAAGGGCAGTGTCGTGTGGCTCGCCATTCCTTGGGCTCTGGCAGGATCTGCTGGCGTCGTGACAGATCCTTGGGATCAAAAGCACATGCAGAATATTTACCTTAACTTAGGAACACGTGGGGTTTACTGTGTGACAGGCACTGTTCTCAGCACTTTACAAATATTAATTTTCATACAGAATTCTAGAAAGCCATGCATCATTCTTTTCTCTCTTGGTGTGGAAACATACGGGGTTGTAGAAATGCCTTCTGTCCCTGCCTAACTTATAAACGTAGTCATTGGAGCTGGAACACAATGTGCCATAGAGACAAACACTTTGTGGTGTGTTAAGAAAAATTATGAGTGACATTTATGGAAATAATTTTTTATTAACACAAAACACGTAGATATATATGGTAGTGAAGTAGACTTTGGTTTATCGAAGGACCATGAATTGAGTTTAAAATGTGTTTTGGTGTTTTTCATCTCGGCAGGAAATGCAAAACTAAAGGGTTTCTATTTGGACTGGAAAAGAATATACTGAACTTTAGACAGAGGTGATAGAGAAATTCAAAGAGACAGAAAGGCCAGAGACACACCTCAGCTGCCAGAAAATTCAGCTAGCCAGGAACCTTTCCTACCAGGAAGTAACACCCACCACCACCACCACCACCACCACCACCACCACCACCACACACACACACACACACACACACACACACACGTCCAGTAGCAAGACAGATTTTACAGAGCCATATAATAAAACTTTCTACTTCATAACGAAGACAGCCATCCCAAGTGACACTCAGAATACCGACTTGTAGCTTACACAGTCAGAGCAAACTTAGTGAATGAGTTTCCCACCCTCCAGAAGGCGCAGAATCCTAGAAAGGAAGAGAAACAGGTATACTGGTGGAAGTAAGAAGTTGCTACTGACATTGTGAAAGCAAAGAAGTTAGGGGAGAAAGACAGAGTGAAGGGAATTTAAAACTCCTGCAGTTTGGAGCTATTAAGTGAGGAGACAGTTCTTTCTGGCCAAGTAGGCCACGGTGTCCTGATTATACTCCTGATCAGTAAAATCAGTGTGATCTGACTTTGGTCAAGGTACTCATCATTTATTAACCTCATCTGTGAAAAGAAAACTCATTGCTCATGATGTTTAAGTAAAGTGGAGAAAAGGGAACTGACATTTCTCAACTGCTCCTTGTGCTGGACGTTTTGGTAGGTGCTTATCTCTGTCAGTTGATGAAATCCTCACCATAAAGTAGATGTAATTGTACCCATTTTATAGATGAGGAACATGAGACCCCAGACCACATTCATGAGGCTTCTTAGAAATGGAGTTGAGTTAATTATGTTCCCTGTACTCTGCGAAAGAAGGCAGAACAGTGTGGAATACATTATATCAATAGTACCATCTTAAATTGAGAAAATTTGGTCATCTTGGCAAAATTTAAAAACACAAACTAGCCATCCAGGTAAGTGATAAAACCCTACAATTGCTGTCATGTAAAATATTTCTAAATACTGAGTCACTCAAGACAAAGCTAATGACATAATAAAATCAGGATGGCACAAAAACCTGAGCTCAAGGAAATAGACCAAGTTGTGACAAGTGGTCATTTCTAGATGGTAGAGTTATGGATGATTTAGTTTTCTCCTGAAAAATGTAGAAAAATGCATAATTTTTTCCTTCATTATATACTTACCTACATTTTTCAGTTAAAGTAAAAATATTACAACTTTATTAAAGAAAGAAAAAGTTCGGTGCTTTGATGAGATAACTTCTCAGCATAAATAAGTTTCAACACCATAAAAAAACCTATTTTCAGAAAATTCTGAATGAGTCATTGTCAACTTGAGGGAAAAAGAATCTAAAACCTAAAAAACAAAGCAACAAACAACCCCTTTCAATCAATAGGGACCCTCTCATTCTAATGCAGCTGATTTATTTCAAGGCAATACTGGATCCATGATCTTAGAGCTGAGATACACAAAATGTGGTTCCAAGCCTCTTAGCTTCCAGATAAAAAGAAAAGCAATTTGATGTTGTGTATTAGCACCTCTTAACATCTTCTTAGAAGTTCTTCCTGATGACTGTTTGGTTCTATTTTAACTCCAAGACATCAGCTGTACATAAAGATCAAAATTACTTCCCCCAAACAAAGGAGAGTCATGGTGTGTTTCTTTTCCCTCCTTATTGATTAGATGTAGTAATATTTTGAAATTCTTCTTGGAAAATTTAGCTTTATTTATTTTTGGGTGGGTACTAACTAGCTCAACTCACAGTCTTTTTAGGTGAGATGCTGTTTTTGGATTCACTTAGTTAAACTGAACTATGTTACACTGTAATGGTTATGGGCTAAATACTACAAACCGGCCCTGCTCCTTCTTTCCTAGTGGAGCATCAGAGAGCACCATATTTCATTTATATCAGTCATAGTTAAAACTGTAGTTGTAGTTCGGATGGTTGTTTCCTCATTAAGACTGGGTTGGAAAGATGTGAACATTGAATACTGTCTTGAATGTATTTACTTTTCTATTTTAAAGACAATCTTACTGTGAATGATAATAAATGTTCTGTAAAACCAGAGGGGAAGACACACCTCTTAACAATAAAATTTGTTTATCCTTCTTTTATAATTATGTTAATTTTATAAATTAATTGGGAGAAGGAATAAATATAAATGAGTTACAAGTTCAGGGAATTTTTCTTTATTTTTATTTACTGGTATAATAAGGAAAAAATGCTCATTGATAATCTGGATTTATAAAATAAAAGCTAAGAAGTTCCAGTAATTTTTTATAGAACATTGCAAAATGATACACCATAGTATTTTTCTCTGTAAAAAACTTTCAAAAGACTTTAAAATAATGATAGCCCAGATTTTAAGAGCTTTCTTTTTAATTTGCAAAGGGCTTTTACATACAGTGTTCCATCCACTGTAAAACCTTCTGCGCTGCCATTATCTCTTTTTACAGTTGAGGAATTGAGGCTCAGTGAGATTATGCAAGTGGTTTTTCAAAGGTCACATGGCTCTTTCTATTTAACTAGTTTACTTCTTGTGTAGCTTCACAGAGCATGTGTGTCATATGAAGATAATGTGCCATATAAGGAATCTTAGTATTTCTTCTGAAAATGTGTTTTTATTAACTACATTAGAGGGTCTCTGGTACCACAGGATATTTATGCTGCCACCAACATGCATGGTTTCAGTTGAGCAATAAACTTCCACTATGATGCTTGAAAATGGGATAATGTGGAAAACAAAAAAGATCAACCTACTGATAATCTGTATTAGGAGTCAGCAAACTGTGCCCCACAGGCCCAAATCCCCCCAATGCCTGTTTTTGTAAATAAAGTTTTATTCGAACAAAGGCATCCTCATTCATACATGTATTGTCTGTGACTGCTTTTGTACTAAGCAGCAGAGTAGTTGCAATAGAGACCATGACCTGCAAAGCCTAAAATATTTACTCTTTGTAAATTCTTTACAGAAAATGTTTGCCAACCCTTGGTCTACATGATACTGAAAAAGTACCTTGAATGATGTTGATGAAAATATTTTATTTACAGCTATATTTGGACAACCTCTCAAGCAAAAACAAAACAAAACAGATTTGGAGTAATTGGACAAGTCTTGCAGAATTTCAAGAATAGTAGTTTGTTTTTTATCAGTTTTCTTAACCAGTGTGGTAAGTGGTGGAAGTTTTAGAGCCTTTCACAAATTTCTTAAACACCTACTACATGCAAGACTCTGTGCTAAGAAAAACATATTAGTTGAGAAAAACAGTGGATTGTGTGTGTCGGGGGGAGGGTGGTGGGGAGGTCCACTTGTGCTTCATGGCCATCTCTGTGATTCACTCATTTAATACCTTTTGTTTCCAGTGGTAGACTTTGAAGTTTCATTTTGTCTACAATTCTGTAACTGCTTCCTGTTTAATACTGCCCCTTCCTCAACATTAAGGGAATTGTTTTCTCTGAACGTTATTCATCCAGCTTTTAGTGTGTGCTGGTGTTTCTTGTTTGTTTGTTTAACCTTTAAAAATTCTAAGCTTGATTTTAGTTTTCAGGTAAAATGTATTTACTGTTGAAAACAACAGAAGAACAAAAAATAGATAAGCACAGTTAAAAAAAATTAAAAGCCTCTAATTTGGCTGCCTAATAGGGAACAATTCTTAATGTTTTGTTTTATATCCTTATTTATATTTTTACAGCAATAAGCTGGCAAACTGTCTCTTGGGAAAAAAAGCCCTGATTTGTAGTGTTTGCTGATTTCTGTGATGTAAATATTCCCATCATGGCCTATTTTAAGCTACCAGTTGTTTAACAACCGGCTCACAAAATTCCTGACGATTTAACAGTCTCTTGAGTCAGTATGAGCCAGCTCAAGCTCTGTTTATGTGTATGTTTTTGTGATGTGCATATATTTTTATATATGTATATAATTTTCTTTTTACAAAAAATGGAATTTTCTATATATATTCTATTGTAACTTATTCCTTTCACTTACCAAATATAATAAACATTTTAATATATCAGTAGATGTATGTCTATACCATCAATCTTAAGGACTGGAGAATATTTCATTGAATACATATATCATGATTTATTTAATTATTGTTTTATTTGGGGAACTTTCAAGTATTCCAAGAAGTTTGCTATTACAAGAATACTATGATTCAAATTCTTGGCAGTATGCTTTCTTTCTAAGTGAGTTAATGTATGAGAAATGTTTTACAAACAAAGTGCTATGTAAATATTAGTTGTATTCATTATTTATTATCCTTATTTAGACTGTGAGCACCTCTGAATGAGGCAGAGGTATCCCAGCTGCCTTTGCATTCCCCACAGCACTTATCAAAGTGCATCTGCATTCATAACATAACTGAGATTTAAGACACTGCTCAGTTTATTCTGTCTTCTAGTCCCTATTGTGGTCAGTGGTCCAACAGTGTGAAGCTGCTAGGCCTCAAATCAGAGATTTGAGTTTTTCTCAGAGAAAATTCAATTGGATCATCTGGACTTGAACTCAAAACCTGGACTTCATTGTTTTCAGCTGAATAAATTGGTCCAGGCTATTTTACATGTTTTAATATAATAAAGTATCCTTGACCCCAGTGGACAAAAAGTAGCAGGCAAAACTCCCTTTTTCACATACACACTCTCTGTCATGTACACACACATGCACACACACACAAACTGCTGTGTACCTTCTTTCTCCCAGGAACAAATGAACAAAGGTAATAATCACAAAACATGGCCACTTTGTATTCACAAGAGAGGTTCCTGCATTCCCTCTTACCTCAAGTTTTATTTTATTTCAAATTATAAATGTGTTCTTGTTGCCATAGCTGCCTCAGGATGAGAGTACAAAGTTAACAACACTCAATAAAATAAATGAAGCCATAAAATCTCCTGGCAGCGTTATAAAATCTCCTGGCAGCATTTGTTAATTCTTGTCAAAGTTGTAGTTCTTTATAGGTAAAAATGTATGTTTGGGGAAGAAAATTACTTTTTTTTAATAAGGCCATGAGCATTTTTCTTCTTCCGAGGACAAACCCATTTTCCCCCCAGCATTTTATTATGAAAATTTTCTTCTAACATTCAGAAGGCAACTTGAAAGGACTGTATAGTGAGCACCCAAGTATTTTACAATTCTGCAATTAGCATTTTATTTCATGCATCTATCCGTCCCTCTATTGATCCATCAATCCATTTGTGTGTGTGTATGTGCACGCACACACACACTTCTGAGTACTCTTCCTCCTTTCAGTATCCATATCATTACCTAGAGAGGACAATCCAATTTTAAAAGCCAGGTACTCTGTCAATCTAGAAAGGTAACTGGTTAAGTCTCCATCCCTAGGGAAGGCTTGAAATTCCATAAATAGGACACAGCTGGCAGGCCTCTAGGCATGATTGGCTTTAGTCATGTTTGATAAGGGCTTGTGAGAGCAGAGAGATGGGTAATGTGGTCTTCCAGAGAAATGGCAGATAGCAAGCTGCTCTGTACTGGGTTACCTCCATACCATAGCTGTTGCTCTAACTGAGGTGATTTGGGCCATCTATTGTATGTGGAAAAATATGTATATAGGTATGTGTGTATATGTATATGCATATACACATACACACCCATATGCTGTATTATCTCCATAACAATGTGGCAAAGTATTATCCCTGCTTTATAATTGAAGGAAAAGACTCAAGGGGTTAATGACATGCCCAGAGCTGCACAGGTAATAAGTGTCAAGAAGGGAAATTGAACATTTTTCTATGGCACTGGAGACTGAACTACTTCCCATTTTTGACTTCGTTTCCCTACCTTAGTGGCCTTCACCATCACCTCTCAGTTTAGTTCACATTCAGTTCAAGTTAGCCTGTTGGAGGGCCTCAAGAGAAGTGTGTGCTCAGAACTGGTCTATAGAGTGGATGATTTTAGAGGAGGGCATACAGACCAGACTAGCCAAGTCAAGGCTTTGAGAATCAGGCTAAATGTAAGCAGAGGAACTGAGAAAACAACCCTGTCTGCCTCTGATTATCATGACTTGTTGATTTGTTTCCAGGTGTTTTGAAGTCTTCTGCATCTATTGTCAGTCAGGCCACATTGAAGAGCCTTATGTCAGCATCACCAAGAAGCGACAGATACCAAAAGATGGCCTCTCGGAGGAGATTGAGAAGGAAGTTGGCCAGGCAGAGGGCAAGCTATTCACCCACCGATCTGCCTTCAGCCGGGCATCAGTGATCCAGGCATTCCTGGGCTCAGCACCGCAGCTCACCCTTCAGCTGTATATAAGCACCCTGCAGCAGAACATCACTATTGGAAGATGTATGTGTATATTTTTATTTTTGCTTGTATTTGGGGATCAAATGGGGAGGAAAACAAAGTTTATTTTGTTTCAGGTGAAATTCATTCATATGTGCATTCAATTTTGAGCTTGTGTTCCAGTTACTAAGCTCAAAAGTTAGTGAGTTAAAGTAATATTTATTTTGCTTATGGATTTGGGCAGAGCTCAAAAGGGGTCACTCTGGTCCACTGTGCATCAGCTGGGGTGGCTCAAAGATGGGGGGCTAGAATGCATTGGAGGCCCATTCACTCACATTTCTTTTGGTTGACACTGGCTATTGCAGGGGGCCTCAGATCTTCTCCATTTTCTCTCTCCATGTGGGCTAGTTTGGACTTCCTCACAGTATGGTGGCTGCTTTCAAGGACAAGTGTCCTAAGAGCAACAGAGGGCCAGGTGGAAAAGTGTCAACTTTGGTGATTCAGCCTTGAAAGTCAGGCAACATCACCTCTGCCGCATTTTCTTTGTTGAATCCCTCAGGAACCCTGTTGAGGTTCAAAGGAAGGGAAGAGAAGAAAACTCTGACTCTTTTTCAGGGAATGCAGAGTTCTAGAAGTTCACTGTTGTGTGCCCAGTTTGGAAAATAGAGCTTACCATAGGCTGAAAATACAGCTGCCAGAGACTGGGCCTCTTTGGTTTTTGCCTACCATTTAGTGATAGTTCTAAATCAGCTGAGACGGTTCTAACAGCTTCTTTGTGGTGAATGATGAAACCAAGAGCACTCTCCTGTCTTCTTGGAGTTCTAATAGGTATTTCAGCTTTTAAATGAACATGTTTCTCTAACTTTTTAGCTATTACACACATCATCAAATTGAGAGCAGGTTTTGGTTAAGTCAGATTTTTATGAAACCTCTGCATGCGTTTGACAAAAGTGAAAAGCATTCACATGAGAAGGGGAAATAACCCTTCCCAAATTATATTATGGGTAAATGAAAACCAGATATTCTGGTAAGTTTTGCTACTGTAGGTAAGCAAAAATGAGTTCAAAGCCTTAAATAACATATTTAAGGTAACAATGAAATTGGAATTTTTAAAAATAAATCACTCTTACTAATTTTACTTGCCTCAGTATTTTCCTATTTCTGCCTGTATTCTAGGTTGGATGGTAAAATGTCTTAACTTACGGCTGGATCATAGGGTATTTGCATTCACAGCTGCTTCCCTTATCCAGGTGACCTCAGACCGACCATGATTCTTAATATGTATCAAGACCTTAAGTTGAGGCCTCAGATCTTAGTGGATTAACATTTATATGAAAATGCCTCCCACAGCCCCAGGGAGAAACTAGGTGCTCAAGAAATACAGCAGTATCCTTGTTCTTTAAGGACTTACAATTGGAACAGGCACTGACCAGGACGAGGCCTCTGCATGCCACTGTAACTTTGCCCAATTCACTGTTTTTCCATGTGGCAGGGTCACAGCAAGAGACCAGATGTGGTGATAGCCTGTTTGATTTTTACATAGATCCAATGCTTTTTTTTTCCCTCAAGTTTTTGAAAAAGAAGATTGTCTTTGTCAACCTAAACAAAAAGGCAAGCTTGAAATCACACAAAGAATAGGCGTTTATTTGGGAATAGTAGAGCATTGAGATTCTGGACATGAAAACTGTAGCAAGCTACTGGCGAGTATGCTGAGGGTTTGGGATGGACTGTATTTATCGGCAGGGAGCGTAAAGCGGGGAGGATCTAGTTAGAGTCTGTTAAAATCAAAACAAATGGAGACAGCTTTGGAAATTCCCTGAGCTGACAAACCCCATCTAGTCATACAAAGGCTCAATTTGGCTCATTTTGTGAGACCAACCTAACCTGGGTCATTTCTTGTTCATGCCTCTGGACACCATAAACAAAATTTCCCAAGGTTGATATGAGGCAACCTCTGATCACTTCCCCATCATTTAAGGCAATATTATCAGTTTTCTGTAAATCAGGCAATTATGGGAAATCGGTCTCTCCAGCCTTAAGTTGTATTTTCCTGAGGGCACATGCGTGATGTTTTCCATTTTATATCCTCTACATCTATTTTAGATTGCAACTATTTCACATTTTCCTCTTGGTCAAGATCTTTAGCAAAAAGCATCACTTATCACTTATGTCATTCAGGTGTTGTTTGTTAATTCTTGTCAAAGTTGTAGTTCTTTATAGGTAGATTGTATTGTATGTCCTATGGAGCAGAGCAGAGTTGTCTTCAGGTGTCTTATCCCACGGAGCTGAGGAGGACCTTCCTCAGGTATCTTGTCCCACAGAGGAGGGAAATGATAGGGAATTTCACTGACCTCATTTGAACAAGAGGATTGAAAATGAAGAATCTCAGTTATGCCCCTCTAAGGTAGACAGTTTATTGTCTATGATCAGTTGAATTTCAGGAAAAGCCTTTGAAAGGAAAATAATTTAATTTTTGGGAAAAAGACATATTTATTAATAAAAAAACAGTAGAAATTTAATAAAAAGGGTTAAATTGAGGACCACCAGTTCAGTGATAGCTGTTGATTGAAATGTACTTGTTAGCCAGTTTCCCCAACTGCCTGTGTTTAATAGAACAGAAATGTCCCAAGTTCCAGGAGCTTGGCCAGCTTGTGCTGGCAGCTTGATGTTATCCTTCATTATTTTTAGTTCTTGTGTTATTTTCCCTGACTTCCTGACATAAAAACAACATTCTTCTCCAAAGTAGTGTGCAGGTTTCCCCTGCTGAGCAGTGAGGATGTTTAGGGCTCTGAAGTTTCATAGAACTACTTCTGCAAGGCTATCTTTTTGGATTATTGATATTCAAGAGCTCAGACAGAAGCACTGCAAGTGGTGGATGTAACTATAGAAAGATTGCTAGTTGCTTTTTCAAGTTCTGTGACTCCAACCTAAGAAAAAGGCTCTGGCAAAACATGCCCCAAACCTTTTCTGTCCACTATAGGGTTATATGTATGCATCTATCCATAATTATAACAGTCCCAGTTCTGACATGTCCTTTTAAATTTATAAAGAGAAAGACCCTCAATTAGGTATATAAGCAGTAGAGTGAAAAGTTTCCCTACTTTCAGTGTCAGGGGTGAAGGCAACTATCCCACAACATCCCTTTCAATTAAGGGGAGCTATAGAATATATGTTTCTTCCACATATAAAGAAATACTCAGTGTCTTCTACAGATAATGCATAGTTGAGTCCCTTTGCCCAGATTCTTTTCCCTGGAATAACAGAAGGGTTCTCATGATCAAAAATACAATAATTTATATAGAGCACATGGTCATCTGGTTTATTAACATTATGGAAATGGTTATGTGCACCTTAAATTTCTATAGATCTGGAGTAGCAAGTGAGCTGATCTAGTATAAGTAAGATTTTGGTGGAGGTCTGGAAGATCTCTAGGGAAAAACTAACTTGAATTAAGTTTCCACCATTCACCAGATTTTTAGTCGATTCCCAATGAAGTACCATTGAATAGGAGAACATTAGCTTCCCATTTCCTGGTATTATTACAAATTTTATTGCCCCACCATAGAGATACATTAATAGAGGAGATGATACAGTCTTCCAGTGGGGAGTGGATTCATGTTCAACTGGGTCATATAAAATAGTATAGCTACAGTTATCTAGTGGGAGCTATCCTAGAGTTTTGCCATTCTCATCATTGATTTTGAAACATAAATATTTTGGGTAAGAGTCCAGACCTGAGTGAGGGATATCCTTTTGAGTGGGGGGCTTCCCAGTAGAAAACATAATATTTGGTGCCAGTTTTCCGGAAGTATGGACATGTGTGGTTTCAAAGGTCCCAAAGGAAAAGCCTACATCTTGGCCAATTAGGATTTTGCCATTCTTCTAAAGGTAGTGGCTAGGCCACCGATTCGGGTTCATCATGAGTATTATTTGCTCTAGCACAAATCCAGCAATCTGTAAGTTTATCAGAATGAGAGTTTTTCTAAAGTGGGGATAAAATAGTGTATTAAAGCTAAAGTAAAGGATGGTAGGAAAAGCAGGGAAAAAGCAATCAAATGCTTGAATTGAGTAAATAGAGAAGGAGAAGAGAAAAACAAAGAAAATTATATAAGCCTGGTCTAGATGTCTTGGGTAAGCTGTCTACTTCAGATGCCATCTGCTTCAGTTCTCAGAAATTTTCAATTGTAGGTCACCAGTTAGTGTATGGGTCCATTCAGGTTTGGGGGCTTTTTTTTTACATGAGGCATATGAATCTAAGAGTCTGGTCCTTGAAGTTTTTGGCTGTACTTTTCTTCAGCAAGGTTGAAGAAAGTCATTTTGGAGATGTCTTTTTTTAATACACAAAATCTCCAGGCTGTGAGTTGTGATGTTTGATGTCTGTCTCCTGGGAGCACCCTGTGGAGAGATTGTTGTGGGTCAAAAGAAGTAGGGGCTAAGTATATTGGCTGTCTTATAATTTTTTCAAAAGGCAAAAGTTTATATAATCCAAAGGGAGTAGATCTAAGATTTAGAAGAACCAATGGTAATGCTTTTTGCCAGGATCTTTGGAGGGTTAGAACTAATTAAACTGAGTCTTAAATAATATCCTTTGTACATTTGACCAGTCCTGAAGACTGATGATGAGCACAATGAAAATGCTGCAGGAAGGGCCAGACAGCACAGACTTGTCGAAGCATTTGACCAGTACAGTGGGTTTCCCAAAGATTATTTGAATAATCTTTTCAAATAGGATTTTAACTACAGAAAAGGCATGGGAAAACTTCAGCCCATTGTGAAAATATGCAAACCATTATTAGAACATACTTATGTCCATGAGCCGGGGCAATTGTATGAAATTCATTTGCCAAACCTCAAATGGTCCATTGGGTAAATCAAAATGTCTGGGACAGTATGGATAGATTTCCCTGGGTTAAGTTTAGGACAGATGGAGCAAATAAGAAATGTGCTTTTTGTGGCTTTGCCAGTGTTTCCCCAACAATATTGATTCATGAATGTTATCATTTTATCAGTTGACCAGTGATTTAATTCATGTATGGTAGTTCATAATGGAAATTTTAGATTTT